TATATATATATATATATGTGTGTGTGTGAATGGAAAAACACTCTACCGTGTTGATACTATGGTAGTAAAACCCACAATGCACAAACTAGATTTATTGCAGAAAGTGAGACAACAGTATCGGAATCTTCTTGGTTCCATCTCCCATTATGTATCTATATACATGTATGTATACATTTATGTGTGCGTTTGTATATGTATTTGCATATCAATAATAATGGTGATTTTGACGATAACAATGTTAACTCGTTGTCAAAATAATATTTAACTTTTCCTCGTAAAGAAAGGAAAGGGAGAATCCGCTTAAAAATTCTACGCATCCGCACTCCCGATTTCGTAACCTTTGCTCTCCGTTACACAAGGCACGAGACTCCAGAGTGACGCTGGTCGGGGATTCTCTTACTCATTTTCTCCATTTTATTCGTTTGTTCGTCGCTTTCACACCTGTTTGGCCGGTTCAGTATGAACTCGCTGACCAGGACTATCGGTCGTTTAACAAGAATTAACCGTAATTTGAACAGATACGAGAGATTAGCACAGAACCTGTACTCACCTGTTTGCGCGTGGGATAGGCCTGCACTAACGGGGTGTAGGCCTATACATATTCATATCCCTCTGTTATCCAGGTCTTTCTCTACTCGTCTTACAGAAAAGCACGTTAAATTGAGTAGCCTGGATTACCAGGTTCATCCAGGATTTGGGACAGTGAAAGCCATTGGGGAAGGGATCGACTACATTATAAAACCAGCTAATCCACAGGTAAGATTTGTAATGTACGAAATTACCTTGTTAATTTGTTGTTATTTAATAGATTTTTTTATATTGATTTTGCTAAAATATTTCCACAACAGTATGTGACACCACCAAGCCTATTGACACTCGGGCAAAGAACGATTAACCATTGCCCTGCGTATTCTAGTTATGCTGCGTTCAGAACTGCTCGTCCTGCTCGTCCAGACATCTTGTCCAGGACCAGCAGGGCAAGTGGGCCGCGTTCGGAACCTCAAAAACCCTTTCAGCCCAGAATGCAACCGGCTTGAATGTAAATATTCACATTTTTATCATGCCGGTGTCTTTATTTTACACGCTGCATAGGTTTTGTAACTCCTTTGATACACATTTAACTTATCTGCAACAGACAAGCACAAAAATATCCTTTGATAACACCAATAAAGGGTCATAAAATTACCCACCAATATCTTGTGGTTCCCTGCAACTGTCAATGTTTACATACAAAATCTATTGTGACGTCATCTCGTCCTGCTTGGCCACCTTCACAGGAGGGCGAGTTGGATGTGCTAGACTAGTTGTCCGGGACGAGATAGTGGAGGTTCCAAACAGACAAAACATCTCGTCCAACTGGTCTGGACAAGATAGACAAGCAGTTCCGAACACACCATTACATGGACCTCTTAGACATTGTAGGGTAACTGTTACCGAGAGTAACACACCCTTCTAAGACCACAGTTGTGCCACACAATTTTTTTGTATTCTTAAAAAACAAGTGTGTTGTGGGATTGGATTGGTAACCCTGTGACCTGGTGTTATGTGAATGTGCATGTGTTTGTGTACGTGTGTACATATATGATTGTGTTCATGTATGTATGTAGCCTGTCTATATACACATGATTTTCTCTCTTTACATCCTGTCTTTCCAAACCTTTCTTTTTATTTGTATTGAAGCACTTAATTTACCCACCTCATAATGCTCTCATCAACATATATCTATTGGAATGACTTGTTGCAAGTCTATAATCTACCACTCTCTGCCTCCACGCCCTATTAGCATTTCCCTACCCCACACAAACGGTCCTCCCTTGACCTCTACCTCTTTGATATTCTAAAATAGCACCATTTTGAAGGAGGGACAGAACGTGAACCATCTGCTGTCATCATACTGTACTGGTAACACTACTTGCATATATCAAACCTGTGCCTAGTTTTGTATTCTACTGGCAGGTATCTGCCCTTTCACTAATCACTCTGATGGTCTACTTGCATTCATCTAGCCTTGCAAGCATAATTTCCATATTCTGCTCTCAGATAAATACCTTCACTTCTCTGTAGTACTGCACAGCGCATATCCAATACAACCTGGACCCTTCTAGTTACCACTTCCATACCCTACTTGTATACATTCTACCTTTAAATACAACCAGACCCACCTACCATATACATCTACACCAAACGCCCAACCCTATGGTTACTACTACCCACGCTCTACCTTCCCCCTCCCTCATCCACCACCCACCCATTACCATATATACATATCAATGAAATTACACCATGGGTTCTCTTATAAAAATTATATTATTAGTCTATATGCTCATTTAGGTTAAAACACATGTAATCTAAATGTATCTGAAGATGTGAAATAACATGAGAAGATACTGCGGCAAGTTGTGATGTTCCAGTATTCCGTGAGGTAGAATTACTTCTTGAAAAACCTTCAATGTTGAGAGGTGAAAAAGGATAACTCACTCATTTTCTTTGCAGTTACAGA